AACTTCAGTCACATAAACTGTGTCCCACAACTCCTCCCAGATCCACCCCTTCCCTACTTACCCAACATTGTGTCTTTTCTTCTATTTTAAACCCATTGCATCCTATTTGTGCAGCTCATATACTCTTGGATGTGGTGCCATCCACTGGAGCGTGGTTGACCTACCAGGGACCACACCCTTTAAGAATACTGACTCTTCCTCTCCCAGAAGCTATCAATTGCCAATGGTTCCTCATATGGGTTGGAACATCATGTTCACCTCCCCCTCTCCATTCTGGCATTTTGTCTGGCTTGAGCTGTGCAGATCTAGTGAACACTGCCACAACTACTGCGATTTCATATGTGCAACTGCCCTGATGTGTCTGGAAAGCACTGTTTTATTATACGCATCCACCACCTCTGGTTCTTTCAATCTTTGTGCCCCTCTTCTGAGACAAACTTTGAGCCTTGGGGCAAAGAGTGTGATATAGATATCCCATTTAGGACTGAACATTCTGCAGCCTCTTATTTTCTGCACCTTGACCGGTTTCAAGTCTCTATGTTAATCTTCTGCAAAAAGAAGCTTCTCTAATGGGGGTTGAGAGATGCTCTATCTATGGGTATAACAATAAATCATTAAGAATCAGTTTAATGCCATGTCTATTTGGTAGTAGGCTCTTCCCTGAGGCCTGTGACCTGTCTAGCCACAGGTTCTTGCCCCCAATAACTGCCAGGTATGGGTTCCGTCTTGTGAGGTAGCCTTAAATCCAATCAGAAAGTGGATGGGTACTTGGCGTGACTTCATGCCGTGTTGCACCACTGGGCATATCTTGCCAAGATTCTCAGGTGGGTAGGATTGATGATTATTTTTGAAAACAGGGATATTTTACATGCATAAAAGGTAAACACAGACATTTATTTAGAACCAGTAGCTGTTTGCTTCATTTGCTCTTTACTCCAAGAAGGGGATGTTTTAAAAGTAATGTGCTTGCTCTGTTTGTTTCATTATCCAGCTTCCTCTAAAGTTTGTGTTCTCAGAAGCTGTGAAGAAAGGGAGCAAGCCATGACTGAGCCTCATTGCTGAGCTTAAGTCCCTGATTATTCAACTCAGACTTAGCCAGTTTCTTTCCATTTGCAGCAGGTAATGACTGATTCTGAGTCTTCTTACATGCTGCAGAGAATCTGATTTGAGCTGACTGATCATATGTAGATGGAAGTTCCACCAAACATCAGCCTGATTCTAAGGGCTCTCCTCTGACACAGAATCTCTTTTGAGTGAGAATGTAATTTTACATGGCCATTTTGGAAAACAGTGTGGAGACTACTCAAAACCCTCAAAGTAAAATTACCACATGATAGAACAATCCCATTTACGGGTATATAGCCAACGAAATTTAAATCAGTACATTAGATATCTGAGCTGTTTCCAATGAAGCAATAAAAAAATGTATACAAACACAGTGGAAAGAACTAGAGGATATTATGCTGAATTACACAAGCCAGGCTCAGAAAGACAAATCCTATATGATCTTATTTAGTGTGAAGTCTAAAAAAAAGTCAGTGTCATGAAAACATAAAGTAGAAGATGAAGCTTGTAGCTCAGTGGTAGAACACTTGCAAGGTTCTGAGTTCAATCCTAGTACCACAAATAAAAGAAAGGTAAGGATAGGGTGGAGACGTGATGGGGATAGAGGCATTGTTGATCATTATATAAACATGTTAGACTAAAGGACTAAGTGTTCACAGTCTCTCAAACTCCACATAACCACAGTTAATAGTAACATTACATATATTCAAAATTGTTAAAATAAATTTTTAACGTTTTTTTGGCTTTTTTGAGACAGGGTTTCCCTGTAGCCCCAGCTGTCCTGGAACTCACCATGTAGACCAGGCTGGCTTTGAACTCACGAAGATCCACCTGCCTCTACCTCCCAGTGCTGGGATTTTTAACATTTTTACCACCAAAAAATGCTAAATTGCTGAGTTGATGGCTATGATAAAGAGCTTTATTTAATCTTTGTATAATGTATATACATAGCCACATAGATCAAGACATTTCTATCCCATAAATACTCAGAATCATTATTTGTCGACTAAAAATTATTATTTTAAAGCACTGTATCACTGGGCCTTAGAAGGTAAATGTTACTCAGTAATCTTAAAATGAGAGAAGTGTGTCAAAGAAAGTTCTTAGGGAAAGGCACAGCTGTGGACCCTGACTCTGTGGGGCACCCTCATATAAAAGATAACCCTTCGGCTTAGGGCTTAGAATCCCTCAGACATCCCTCAGATGTCCTGGCAGAAGATGACACAGACTCCCCCTCTCCTGAATGAGGATGAAAGTGCTCCGTAGGCAGTCTTGATCACATTCTCATTCATTCTTTCAGATCCCCACAGAGCATTCACATATCTGAGACCCTCAATCCAGGTTTGCTTCATGTGGGTCACTTTTTTTACAGTCTTGGGGAATTATTTTTTGCAAGAAAATATACATAACATAGAATTGGTCATTTTGTTTTATTTTCTTTGTGTTTAGTTAAGCAATAGAAGGTATTTTTGAACATATTTCATGAGGTTTTTCTATTTATCTTTTCACAGTTTCATACAAATACATATGCAGTGTGCTTTGATTATATCCCCATCCCACTACCTCTTTTATCCCCTTCTTCCTCCTACCAAATCCCTTTTTCTTCCAAGGAAAGTCCCCCTCCTGCTAGCTTGTCTTTTCTTTGTGGCCCATTTAATGAGGGCCGCTTTCTTGAGTATGTTTGTGGGGTTATTTACTTGAGAATAACAGCTGACCAATGGCTATGACTCCCCTCCCCCAGCAACCTTTAACTGCCTAGAGCTCTGTGGGAAGGGGGTGGGGCCTTCTGAGCTCCTCCCCCCACCCACAATGGAATGCTGACAGCCCAGTCTTGTACAGGTTTATGTAGGTGGAATAAAGTCCTCTGACCCCTTTCCACGATATTCCCTGAGCCTTGGAGTGGACAGTATTGTTATCTTCGTTACTCCTGAGCATGCAGTCTCTTGTTCTCAGCACGTTGCCCAGTTATGACTGCATTGACTATTGCCCACTGCAAACAGAAGCTTCTCTGGTCCAACCAAGCACAGAACTGATGGCCTGATTGCTGGCTCTGGTCTAGACTCTCCAGGCTCCTTCCCTGCTAGTGGGAGGTCCTCTGCCATAAAGTTCATTTTGAACCAATATGTATAAACAAAAAACATATTTATGAGGAACTATGTGATGTTTCGGTAAGTTCAAGTCAAGATAAACATATCTATCTCCTCAAACATGCAGTGTACTCCTATCTAATTATAACTTAGCAACCATTACCAACTTTTCCCCTTCCCTCCATGCAACCTAGTCATTTTTAAGTGTACCCTTCGCTGGTATTAAATATATTCACATTATTGTACTGGGTACACTCTCCTTCAGTACTTAGAACATTTTAATGCCGAAAAAAATATGAAAAACTCAGTGCTCTGAGTCTAATCAGCCTCAGGCAGATGATTTCTGTTTCCTTCTCTGTAAAGCAGCAATGGTGTCTACATTGTTGGGTTCTTACAAGGATCAAATAGGAAGACTACTTGGAAGTCCTGAGCACGGGATTCTGGCAGTAGTATACGCTGTTGTGGTTAGTTGTTGTCGTCAAGCCAATAATGTAAAATTAAAATATTTCAGTCTTATGTTATAATCACCCTAACTGACAATATATTGTCCTTTTAAATAACAAGTAAAAGAGAAAAGACCTTGAAAAAGTAGTGAAAGAAAATGCCTTTGGGATAAATATGAAAGGAATTAAGCTCAAGTCATTCTGTTTAAGTTGGCAAAGTCATCATTGTTAGTCACTGCATTTGTAAGAAATGTCCTAACTGTAGTTTTTTATGTTACTGCAGCTTGCATTCCAGCTTCCTGTCTAGTACACTCGATTCTCAAGCTCCAGTGTGCCTCACATTCACTCAGGAAGCACACTAGAACACAGGTTTCCTAGGCCCACACCAGTGGTTCCTGTACAGCAGGTTGGGAGCCCAGGAACATGCTTTTCATTGAGAATCAAGGTAAAGCAGAGGTCACACCTGGAGAAATGAAGCTTGGATGTAAACATCTGCTTCTACTTAGGAGGGGTTTTCACTTAGTCACTGTGCTCTGAGGTCTGTTTTCAACTTTAAATATATTACATTCATGTATTACTTTGCAAAACTCTGTTTTCATATAAATTTCTCAGCACTGACAGCAGTAGCTCATGGTATTCGCTCTGCTGATAACTCAGCTATACTGACTGTATAGAAATGAGTTCTTGAATGCTCTTAACTTTGGGGTCACTCACATATTTTATTTCCAGACATCTCACTGATAGTCAGTATTGATGAGCCATAATTAATGCAAAGCATGCTAGAGACTGTGCACCCATTTATGAATGGTTTTAAATCAGTTTCTCCTATCTTTGTTAGACTGTTCTCTTTCCAGAAATGCCCTTTGTACTTCTGACCTCAGAATTTCCAGGTAGCTAACTAACTCTTTGCTACAATTGACACATACCATTTTTTAAAAATAAAAGTAGTAACCAACAGTTACAAAAACCCAAATGTCAAGCTTTTCTTGAGAAGCTAGAATCTCCAGTCTCCAGTGCCTTGGACTTCTCTGGGACCCTCATCCAAGAGGATAGCTCTCCTGATGAACTTAGACATGGGCTCAAACTTCACTCCAGCCCCAGGCTCCCCCTGGCCAGTGAGGGTCTCCTAACTTTCAGCATTTGCTAACGCTCTTGTCTATGGATTCTAACAATTTGATGATGTCATATCCTTTGCTAGTATCTTCTGTTTTTTTTCCTGGTCAGGAATGAAGATTGTACTCAAGCCTCGGCTGTACAGCACAAGCCTGTTGCTTCACTCGTGATGTGTACTTATAGTTTGATTTTCTCTCATGGTTTTTCTCTCTCCAGCAAGATCTTAAGTTTCATGCAGTGTCCAACATAGAAATGAACCCTTGCTGACCTGATGTTTTAACTTTTTATCTAGAATTTCTACTTGGATAACAAAGGGAAAAAAGAAAGCAAGGAGACCAGTGAGAAAATGAATGCTAGAAACAAAGAATCCTTACTTGAGGTAAGCCTCATTTTATGGAGTTAAATAAAAAAGAAAGATGTTTGCTGTATCTATTAAATAATTTGTTCCCACTACAATGGAAAATTCTGGAACATGCAATAATTGAGTCAAATTATTCCTAAATTATAGCTATTTTGATCAATTGCTTCGAGTCTACCATGCTAGATCATGGCTTTAGACAATGCAGTTTGCTTTTATGAAGTTGGAGTAGTAATTCTTCACTAAAAAGACATGAATCCTCATAAAATTTATCTGCTAACTTTCCATATATTGTACTACTTAAGGACTGCACAGACGTCAGATGTACGGGTTTCTAAATCTTTAAATCTGTGAGGCTCTTGCACCACCCACAGGTAGAAGTGTGAGGTTCCAGGTGTAGGATGTGACTCTGCCCATGTTCGTGTACTAGTGGCTGGAACACTTCTCTGTGAGCCTCAGTAGCAAATCATATCGAATCATCACAGAGATTAAGAGCAGGGATGACTGCTCAGTGCCTTCAATGGTCACTGTTCAGGCTTGTTCCAGAAGTTCATTTGACAGCTGACTTCTTTGGAAACTTTTAAGGAGTTTTCACACAATAACTATTAAAGACCATGGCTCTCTTCTCACCACGTAAAAACAAGTCTCAGGTCACAGCAGGTATGCTAGGGCCGTGGGCAGGATGGTGTAATCACCCCCAGCACAGTGTTGATCTGTTCCTGAGTTATTAGTTATTCTCTTGAAATTCAGACTTGGTGATGTTTGGACACACTACCTATGGAGGCAATTCACTGACGCTGAGGAGCACAGCATTTTGTTCACCAGTGTGTCTACCTCCCCCCACTGTGTTTCTCTTCCCTGCCACATTCTAGCAGCCCTGGACCAAATGAAGCCAGTTTCAGAGCCCTGCTGCCACTCCCAGGGACCTGAACCTATGCTTCCCGCTCTGGTTCTGGACTGTGAGGGCACTTCAGGGGACACCCAACAGTGACACTGAGATGTCCTTTCTGTATTTACCAGCAAGACTCTAGATTAAATCGGGTACAATGAAACATCAGCTATCCCTGAGAACAAGGGCAGGCAGGATTGAGCATGCCCAATGATGATGGATACTGACAAACACAGAAAGGAAATAAATGGTTTTCTGCCACAGCCATTTGCTTTTATTCAGTGATGAGAATCAGCTGTCTGTAAAGGGGGCGCTTGCTTATGTGCTCATTGACGTACTTGCATGAATAGTCTTTGAGATAAGATTTCATCAGCATTTACAACTGGATGTGAAAGAAAATGTAAAACCTGTTATGCTGTGAGAACTCTGCATTGTTCTACTGTCTGCTTTGGGCCAAAAATATGAACAAATTTAATAGATGATTGACAAACCCACTAATACTAACTAAATTGGAGGAACGTTGGAAGAGACCTGAACAGAGATGTTCTCTACCTCTCCTGCATGTAAATTTACTTTGGAAGATGCAAAGTTAAATTTTCACATTTTTAATTTTTATTTATTTTTACATGTATGAATGTTTTGCCTGCATGTATGTAAGTACACAACATGTGTGCAGTGCCTGCAGAGACCAGAAGAGGGCATCAGATCCCCTGGAACTGTAGTTATGGACAGTTATTAGTGGCCACATGGGTGCTGGGAACTGAACCTAGGTCCTCTGGAAAAGCAGCCAATGCTCTTAACTGCTGAGCCATCTCTATAGCCCCTTATTTTGTATTTCTGAAACCATGGTGAGAATTTTAATATTAAAAGAAAAGAATATCTTCGGATATTCAAGCAAAAATGATAATATGCAATTTATCAATCCACAGCTTTTTTAAAAGAAATTTATTGATAATTATGAAATTCTGTACAAGTTTTGAGATCTGAAAATCTACATCTAGAAAATGTGCTTTTTTCCTTTTTATTATAGTATTAATAATTGCCTTTAAATAATAATTTTGTTACTTAATGTCAGTGAAATATTATCTTTTTTGCTTTTGTTGCTGTTGTTTGTTGTTGCTTTGAATCAGGGTCTCATCCTAAACCCCAGGCTTGCCTGGAACTCCCTAGCCTAGGCTGGCCTCCTACTCCTCATAGTCCTCCTGCCTCAGTGCTGAAATTATAGAGCCACCATTCCTCATTGGTAATCACTTTATTCACTTGGAAAAGGGTTTTATGTTCCAATTTATAACAGTATCAGTAGGCTTTATTAAATGCTTCCTTCTACAATATAATTAGATTATACTCACAATCATGAACTTCTGCTATTGCTCCATTTTTCCAAAGACAAGATCTGCGATTTAATGACCCACAGGTGCAGAATTCAGTGGCCAAGGAGTTTTGATATCTAACCCAGGAACCAGGACCTCTGGTCACTATGTTTTCTTACCTCTCCCCCTCAGCAGACAGCAGATAATGGAAGTGTGTATTCAGTCCATTTCCAACAAAATTTACTTAAACTGAAACCTTTCTTTAAATGTAAACAGAATATATGTTTTATTCCTATGTATTCTCAATTTCAGGAAAGTTTCTGTGGAACATCTGTCATTGTACCAGAACTCGAAGGAGCTCTTTATTTAAAAGAAGATGGGAAGAAATCATGGAAAAGGCGGTATTTCCTTTTACGAGCTTCTGGAATTTATTATGTTCCCAAAGGAAAGACAAAGGTCAGTCCATTTTCCATTATTGTAACAAAACACCTGAGGTAATTAATTTTTTTAAATGACAGGTTTATTTTGGCTCACAGTTTTGGAGGTTAGCCCATTGTTTTAAACCTGTGGTGAGGCAGCACTTCAGAGTTTGACAGAGAAAGGCTGTACCTCACAGCCAGAACCAAGAGAGAGGTGAGACCACGGTGTCACAGTGCCCTTCAGGGTCTGCCCCCAATGAGTTAACTTCCTTCCACCAGGCCCCACTTCTTAATGGCTCTGCCACTTCCCAGTAATGGCACAAGACCCTAACATTTGGGCCTGTGAGGACCACTCCAGATCCAAACTACAGTAATCACAAAAGAAAACAACAAGACGAAAAATTAAAATGGCACTTGAACAAGAAAACATTCGATGAAGTGAACCACAGAAACAGCTCAGGTGGCCATAGCCCTTAGCTACACCGTGACGATGTGGGTTCTGTGGTATTCTGGGCTTTACACAGGTATATCTTCTACAAGATAAAATTACTGAAATATTTTTGAGTTGTCCTATAGCTTCCTCTTGAATATGAAAATATAAGTACTCGTTTTAAAGTCATGGACCATCAAGATGGATCCATGGATACAGGCATTTCAAGCCAAACCAGACAACCTGAGTTTGATCCCCAGACTCTACATGATAGGAGAGCCAACTCCAGCACATTATCCTCTGACCTCCATATGCCATGGCATGCACATGACAGAGAGAGAGAGAGAGAGAGAGAGAGAGAGAATAAATAAATGTAAAAACTATCAAGCATCAAAAACCTTATGTTCTGAATATTTAAATTATTCTCAGAGGTATACTTAAGGCATTTTGTTTCTTAATTTAACAGAGTATTTTACATACAATTTAAGTTTTACTTGATGAGCTAGGATTATTGACTCAAATCTGCAAACATACAGTAAATTCTTATTTAAATGTAATCTTATCACTGGTTCTGGTCTTTAACTTTTCTTAGAGAGTTGAGATGTTTCCACCTTCCATTCGCCTCTACAAAGCTTTAGATTTTGTCTCTATTTAGGGTAAACTGAATCCAGGGCTTCACCAAATGGCATATCTATAGAGTACAGATTTCCTTTAATAAGGCTTAACCCGCAGTCCCAAACAGGTGAATTCATTGTTAGGAGATCCTGCTACCTATGGGGCATTATGGGTAACTCTTGATGTAAGGCAGCTGTTGCACCACTGAGCCTTTTTATTCTGTTGTGAATCTTAGAACTGATACTTTCCCACCTCTGCCATCTTTACTGCAGTCCCACACTGGACACGTAACAATTGTCTTATAAATAATTTGTTTTTATTTTACAACTGTTATATCTTAAGCAGTTAAATGTAAGTTAGACATATAAATAAACCTATAACACAACTCACTAAATGGTACATGTTGTGTTCACATCAGTTGGTCACTTTCTTGTTACTATTAATAACTTTGGGATAGAGGAATTAGCTAGCAAGGGGAAATTCAGAAGGATAATCACAGGGAAAAGAAGCCAAAACTCACATGGTTCACAATGGGTGTGACTGTCTACACAACAACATAAGAAGAAAAGATTATGACCAAATACATAATGAAGCAAAAAATTATTTTGCTTTATAGAAACAATATGGAAATTAAACACACTTCAAGAGATTCCCTGAAGATCAAGAAAGAAAAATACAAAATATATAAGAATAAAATTATCAAAACCATTCCCAATCTGTGTAGCATAAAATATACGATTTTACAAAGAAAGTAGAAGTTCACTGCAACCTTAAAAAAAAAAATCAGTAGCATTTTTTTTACTTAAAATATAAAGATTGTGGGGGCTGGAGAGATGGCTCAGCAGTTAAGAACACTGATTGTTCTTGCAGAAGACCTGGATTCAAATTCCAGCACCCACATGACAGCTAACAACTGTTGGTAATGCCCATCCCAGAGGATCTGACAGCCTCTTCTGACCTCCACAGGCATTGCACAACATTGTGCACTTACCTACATGCAGGCAATACACACATACACAGAAAATAAAAATAATAAATAAAAATATTTTTAAAAAACAAACCCCCAACATTGTAAAGAGCATTGATCTAAAACTCCTTCTCTCAGAAGTTAGATCATTAGGATTAAAAAGGAAAAGAAAACCAGAAGAAATGAACTCGTCAACAGAGAACCATCTAATGGAAGAGAAGTTAAAGTCAGCCTTTAATGATAGGCTTTAATGATAGTTGGGAAACAGTGCAGAATTCAGTATCACAAACAGCATTAAGATAGCTGTATGTCCATTGTTTAAAGTTTTCCTCTTAAGCCCGTGAACCAAATTAAATCCTAGTTTAATTTAAATATCCTTAGAAAAAGTACTCTAAATTCACATATGTGAGTTGATATTTTCATAACTTTGGGGCACAACAAACTTTCTTAACTAAGAATAAAACTCAAAAGTACAAAGGAGGAAATTTACAGATTTGACCGTATAAAGCTGCTTTAAGTTCCTTATGGATGAAAATATCATACAAGACCTTAAAAACTAGCTACAGAGTCAGAAAGAGCATTTACAACATGCATTACCAAGTATTACTATCTATACATACAATGACTTCAACAAATCAATAAGAAGAAATAAACATATGCACAAATGGCAAAGCTTATTAAGTGAAAATTCACAGAAAAAAATACTAAAGGCCGCTGAGTAAAAGCTGTTCCATCTTACCAGTAAATAAACAGATATTACATCCTCTGTGAGACTGATAAAACCAGTAATATTGGCATCCAATGTTGGCGAGAGCAGATAAGAAAAAAAGGACATTCTTGGGAATGAAAAACTAGACTGCAAAACGGTATAGCCAAGTTGGGGATCATAGCAAATGGAAGAGGGTACAAATGCCTTTGTGGATGGCAGCTGCCACTTTGGCAACCCATCCCACAGAAATGTCTGTTCATGCACAGTGTTTTGTGCAACAGCAAAAAGTGAGTTGATTTCTGATCATCTATAGTAGAATATTTAAAAGAAATTGTTTTACCTATGCAGGAGAATGTTGTACAGCTCTAAAATGTCATCTATCCAATCGTGTCCTGACATAGGACATATATGTAATTGTTTTATATATGTGAGTGTATGTAAATATGTGTATGCAAGTATATGTGCAAGGAGAGATATCCATGTCTAAACCTATAGACAGATGATGGATAGGTGACAGATGATGATGATGATGATGATGATGACAGATGATTGACAGATAGATGATAGATCGATAGATGATAGAAGATAGATGATAAAGATAGATCGATAGATCAATGATAGATACATAGATGATAGGTAGATAGATGATAGATAGATAGACAGACAGACAGACAGATAGATGATAGATAGATAGATAGATAGATAGATAGATAGATAGATAGATAGATAGATAGATGATAGATACTTAAAAATATTTGGAAGAGTCTACTAGTCTGTAAGCTATGGTACTTCTAAAAAGGACTATAGAAACAGCAAAAGAAAAAAGCTGGTGAATAAAAAGGTATAGCAATTCTGCCCATTTTTCCTTATTCAGTAATGAGGTGGGGAGTTATAGGCCATGAAAGAAAAAACGTGAATAGTGGAACAAATGTGTAATTGAAGTGTAGCCAAATATGTAAATTAGAGGTTACCGGTTTTTACAGCACAATTTATCCGTGGAGGTCTCTGTTTCCATGGCAACCTTGCCAGCGTAAGAAGGAGCATCTGAGAGCATGGAGCTTGTGATAATTTGCTGAGCATCGAGTTTACCTCTCATTCCTCCTCCTGAGGGGCTTTGTGCTTTGTTCCATTTCTTTGAATGCTCAATCACAAACTCCATCACTGACTTCAAATGCAAAAGTCAAAACGAAACATCTGACTAGTTGGTCACACTGTCATGATTTTGTCAGTAGCACATCTCAAGGTCGATTAGTTCTGACTCCTGGAGTCTACAGCAGGCACTAGGACAACAGCCTCATCCTCCACTCCATCTCAGAGGCACATGGGCCTGCTTCAGTTGCACTCTTTGTCCTCTGTCTTTTATGTAGGCTTGACATAAAGAAAACCGTGTACAGTAGATGTTCATATCAATTATTTTATCTCTTTTTAAAAAATATTTTATTTATATTTTTATTTTATGTGTATGAGTGTATTGCGTGCATGTATGTGAGTGCACCCGTGTCATGCAATTCCACGGAGGTCAGAAGAGGGCTTCAGATTCCCCTGGAACTGGAGTTAAGGACTGTTAATAGCCACCATGTGGAGCCCGGGAATCAAACCCGGGTCCTCTGGAAAAGCACTCAATCTCTCCAAGTCCTTATTGGAATCCTTTGTTGTAGCATCGCCTCAGAGGACGTTTTTATTTTGTTTTGTTTTGTTTCACTCTCTTTCAGACATCCCGAGATTTGGCATGTTTTATACAGTTTGAAAATGTTAACATCTACTATGGGATTCAGCATAAAATGAAATACAAGTCACCCACTGACTACTGCTTTGTTTTAAAGGTATGTCATGGGTTCCTAATTTAGATCTGTAAGCTGTTTGAATTATTATTTTATTTCAAGGAAAAAATGTTAAATTATATGTAGTAAAGTGTAAATCCAATATAGTAAAATGTGTATTTTCAAACCAAAATAAGGAAGTAATATGATGTCAATCAATTTGTCATGTCCCCCAAGACTGCTGTCCAATCCTACAACTTTAAATCTGTCTAGGGTCTTTATAACTTCTGAATATAAAAGAATATTTTGAATATATTAATTTGAAATTTCATTGACAAAACAGATGTTTCTCAAGCCAAGCATGGTGGCTTAATTCCAGCACCCTGGAGGCAGAGGCATGCAGATCTCTGTGAGAGAGATGCCAGCCTGGTCTACATAGCAAGCTCTAGGCCAGCCAGTGCTACAGGGAGACCCTGTCTCAAAACAAGCAAACAGATATTTTCAGTTCTTATTTATTAAGTATTGTTATCTTCCTGTAAGACGTTTTGTTGTGTTGTTGTTGTTGTTTTTAAGAATGTGTGATGGCTCACACCTTCAGTCCCAGCACTTGGGAGGCAGACGCAGGTGGATCTCCGTGCGTTCAAGGCCACCCTAGTCTATATACCAAGTTTCAAGACAGCTGGGGCTACATAGAGACCCTATCTCAAAAAAAGCAGGGTTGCAGGGGGGGGCAGGATTTAAAGTTTGAACTTAAATATTTCCTAGAAAAAAAATGCAGAAAAAATTTAAAACTTAAAAAAATTATTACCAGTTAAATAGCTGGCTTTGGTGGCTCACCTTTAATCCCAGCACTTGGGAGGCAGAGACAGGCAGATCTCTGTGAGTTTGAGGCCAGCCTGGTCCACATAGTGAGTTCCAGGCTAGCTGGGGCTACAGGAAGACCCTGTCTCAAAAAGACAAAAATAAAATAATATTTTTATATAATAATTTTTTTAAAGTTAAAACTTCTTTTTGGAGACAGAGTCTTGTGTAGCCCAGGCTTGCCTCAAACTCATTGTGTATCTGAGGCTAGCCTAGAGCTCCTGATTGTCCTATTTCCTTCTCCCAAGTACTGTGATGATAGGTGTGTGCCACCATATAGTTTAGGTTGTGAAACTTTTAAAAATGATGTCAAAAGGAACTATGTATTACTAGGTGTTTGATGAGGCTTATGTGCCTTAAAGTTAGAATCTCAGACCAGATAGATCAGTGGATGGGTTATTTTTATAACTACACTTGCTGTACTGAGAGTCCTTAGGCCTGCGGTAAGTTTGTGCTTGTTCTAATAGTTCAGTCAAGTCAATCATATGCAATAAGTTTGTGTCCATCCACAATTACTATTATTTATTGTAATGAAATCATTTATTCACTCACTCATTCAATATTTGTTAAATGACAACTGTCTTCTGGGTGCATTCCAGCTGCTGGGAGCATTGAACTGAAACAAATCAAACCAGGGTTAATAGAAAGAAACGTCCTCAGTGAATGAATATGCCACACCCAAGCTTGGGTGTGGGCTTCTCAGTGGAGAGTCAAGCGTAATGCCTTAGCAATACCCATGTGTGCCACATTAGTGGTTCTCATGTTATGTCTACACTCCCCCCCCTTTTTTTAATAAATGAGTTTAAAGGGTGGCTTCAAAGCTGCCTTGGGATTACAACCTGCTAAGATAAAAACATAAGCTACAGAGGTTGCACAAGGCAGTTAAAAGATGTCTTTTACCATAAATGGGGCTTCTGGTGATATTCCTAGAAAACTGCAGGCTTCCGGTTGGGAAAGCAGAAGCTAGCTATAGTTCCAGTTGTCATCTGTACGCAAAATATTCCCAATCTATGGCTGAGAGTCTCACCTTCTCTCACATGTGGTAACCACAAGTCCAAGGAGCACCTCGGCCGTCACCCGTCAGGCAGAGATTTCAGTTTTCTCTACATCCTCACCAAGTCCTTTCAGCAAAGTCTCTCAAAACTGATGGCACCGTTACCCACTGTAGTAGCTCCCTAGCACTTCCCTGACAAACTACCCCTAACTATTTGAATTAAAACAACAGAAATGTAGTTCTCTTATATTTTAAGAAAATTCAAAAAATCAAAATCAAGTTCTGGGTAAGTGTTTGCTATGCAAACTGACAACCTCAGTTCAATCCCTGGAACCCACAGTGTCAGAAAAGAACTGACTCCGCAGCATCATCCTCTGACCTCCACAAATGCACCATGGCACACACAAACAGACACACATACACACTAATAATAATTAATAATAATAAATAAAAAATGAAAAACAGCAGCATAAAATGGGTGGAGCCAGGCATGATAACTCCCAGCACTGAGGAGGCTGAGGCAGAAAGATTACAAGTTCAGAGCCACCCTGGGCTACATAATGAAACCTTGTCTCAAAAAAGAACAAAGAAAAAACTTCCCAGAGAAGTCTGAAGGGAAATCTGTCTGTGCCTCTCCCCTGGCTTCTAGAAGTTTCCAGCAATCCTGGCATTCCTTGGCTTGCAGCCACCATATGCCAATTCCCTTGTCCATCACACACAGTCATCTTCCTTGCACATGTCCACACCTTTTTCTTCTTGTTTGGTAAGGACAGAGTCACAGGATTTAGAGCTCACCCTAATTCAGTATGATGTATCTTAATGGTATCTACAAGCATGCTTCATACACACTGGGGCAATATCTCTTTCCCAGGAGACACAAACCTGTCATAGCCACCTACTTTACTAAACTATAAACAGAGAAATGGCCCTCAGATCCCTTCGTCTTCCTGCCTCTCATGTAATCCCCAAGGCAGAAGTCTTCCTGATTTTGCATCAGTGTCTCCCATTCACCCCTTAATCTGTCCAGTCTTACTCTTCCCTTCAAGCTCACCTTCCACCTAGACTCCAGCTACTTCATTCTTATTCTGTTGTTGAAAAGATCCGGTGGCCTGCAGCGCCTAGAGACAATCCTGCTTCAGCTCAAGGTCCTTGACCACAGCTTCCCTCCATCTTTTTTCTGCCTCTTTCCAAACCTCATTCAGAGAATCTCTTGACATTCCCCACACATTCTGACACTCAAAAAGCTTTTTTCAACTGTTTCAAATTTTTATTGTGAAATCTAATATGTCATAGAGTAATCACGTATCTGTTGACATTTGTCTCCCCCAGCCACCATTCCCCAGTTATGGAGTGAGTCGTCTCTCTATATACCTAGGGCTTAGTATATTTGTCAGCACCCAGAGGTTGAACAAATGGAACCTTTGTTCTAGTTTTGATTCTGCTGCTACCCTGGACCTTGGGCAAGTTGCTTAACTAGCCCTGTTTCCTCGTTGTGTAAGCATAGAGGATCTGTAAGATCATTTTAGCAATAATATTCTGCAACGGTCTTGACCATGATATGCTGTGCTGCATGTCCTCAGAGAGCTTCTCTTTTTCAGTCAGTAACAGTCAGATCATTGAGAGAGAATATGACCAGCGGCAGTGACCCATCATTTTCTGTCCACTGTTTGCAAGTGATTTCTCAGGCAAAGGCATAAGGAGGGAGCGAACCCCTTAGTCAGGTGAGGTGACTGGAGAGCCAGCGTGGTAACTGGCCCTGTAGCATCTCACTCTGAAGGATCTCTGCGTTATGAAGGGAGCAAGAAAAAACTTAGTGCCCACAAGCTAGCTCATCTCAGAACCATGAAATCTTTGTGTCTTTGGCTATGACTCTATTCCTTTTAGACAGAGCCTCTTCCTGGACCTGGGTCTCATGTCTCAACTAGGCTGAAAGCTGGCAACCCCTAGCAGTCTTCTGTCTCTGCCCCACTCAGTGCTGGGCTTACGGATGTTTGTGGGTGTGCCCAGCTTGTTATGTGGGTGCTGGGATCCAAACCCTGGTCTTCATGATTGTGGAGTAAGCACTCTTAATTGCTGAGCTGTCTCTCTCCAACTGCTGGTGCTTTCTTAAGAGCAATTCTGTGTTTGTGGATTTTTTGTTTTGTTGATTCTTTTTTGCTTTGTTTAAATATTTTATTATTTTTATTTTATGTGTATGAGTGTATTGCCTGCATGCATGTAAGTGTACCCATGTCATGCAATGCCTGCAGAGGTCAGAAGAAGGTGTCAGATCCCCTGGAACTGGAGTTACAAATGATTGTTAGCAACCATGTAGGTGCTGGGAATCAAACCCAGGTCCTCTGCAAGAGCAGTCAGTGCTCTTAACTGCTAAGCCATCACTCCAGCCCTTGTTTTGTTTTTTAAGACAGGGTTTTTGTATAGCCCCAGGTGGCCTGGAACTCACTATGTAGACTGGCCTCCGTAGCACAGAGATCTGCCTGCCTCTGCTTCCCAATGCTGAGATTAAAACCATGCACTATCATGCCCTCTTCAGATCAATTTTAAACATTCATTGCTGAAGAAACCAATGTGCCTTCCACACTGCAGTCAGAACAAGAATTCTGTTGTAGGTCAGAGAGCTGTGTTTCTGATACTGAAAGACAAGGGCTTTGATTTGGTTTTGAAGACTTCATTATTGGAAATGCTGCAAGCATTATGGAATGTCACATTCCATCCAACAAGTGCCTGGCTTGTATTTTTAATAATCTGACCTTTAGATTAGTTCATGCAACAAATCCTTTTTGCTGTCAGACCTCATTGCCTGATTTGACAGAGATTTACAAATTTGAGGTCCTCCAAAGAACATGGTTATTGGAATAACATTTACAAAACTAAAATTGAACATTCAGAATTAACTGAGCAAACCTTGAACCGCAAGAACAATGCAGCAATCCAAAAGTGATTGCTGCCATCTGCTGGCCGGACTGGAAAACTACAGCAACATTTCTGAGCCCTAGGCAGAATTGCCAGGAAAGACTCTGATGGGGAAACAAATAGGAAGGGGCTTCAGGTCAAGATTTGGAGGCTGGAGGCCCTAAAGAAGGAAGAAATCCATCTAAAGGTAAAAGTAGAAAAGTCAGCTTTTCTCACTTGGCACAAAAACCAAAGACATTTCATTTTTCCTGATTTTTCTGTAGAATCTTTGTTACTTTGTTTAAAATGGCACAATATAAATGTAGAAATTCTATATGGTCAAGAGATACATAGTAAGCTCTCCAAGCATCAGTTTTCTCATTTGCAAAACCAAAAGTAAACTAAACTTTCAAGCTCTTGCAGCCTGTGTATGTTTCGCAGTGGAGGGGGATGAACGCAGTGTGGGGGCACCGTAGAGGACAGTGGGGTCACGTGCAGGTACTTCCCACCACATTCTAACTGACGTTCAAAGGCACAGTGCCCTTTGCTCACACCACCTTTGGAAATTAGCCATTTTCCTGAAGGCCAGTAATTATGCTGAAACTGTAAGAGAGGAAGTGGTCCTTCACTCCTTTCCTGCCCACCGAAGAGCCCTAGAAAAATGCTCCCAGGTCTCCTGGCATCTCATTTTATTTTTACAGTTTATGCTTATCCTAGCAAGATTAGTAACCTTCTCTAAGGAAAGAACAAAGTACACACACACACACACACACACGTGAGCGCACATAATCATTGTAGTCGGCACTTTTTTTTTTATCTTTTTGAGACAGGGTCTCCCTGTAGCCCCAGCTGTCCTGGAACTCACTATGTAGACCAGGCTGGCCTTGAACTCACAGAGATCCGCCTGCCTCTGCCTCCCAAGTGCTGGGATTAAAGGCGTGCGCCACCACACCCGGCTAGTTGGTACTTTTTTATACAATAAAATATATTAGAAATTATAATTACCCATCAAAATTAACATGACACATATTTAACACTCTAGGTTTGTCTGCCTGTTACCTTATGGTTTCAGTATTTCTGGCGCAACAGTAAATATTATGCTCATTTATTTTCTCAACAATTATTTTGACACCCAGACTGAAATACTTACCATATGTCAGGCATGGGCTAAGAACTGTGGATCTTTAGCAACAAACAAAACAGGTGTAGATCCCACCCTGATAGAGAACTTACTATATCAGAGCCAAACATAAAAACTACAGGGACAAAGAATTGAGAAAGAGAGGTGCAGAGTGTCTCCTTCATGTCTGCCATGTCATTGCTCTATGTGAGCTCCTGAAAGGTCCCATATAACCCCTGTTCAACCCTCCAAGCCATTGCTTCCTGCCAGTTGAGGCTAGATGGAAACACTTTTTCTGCATGCCAGCACCCCTGCTGAGGATAGTGGCCTATGTGAGTGTGATATAATAGTCAAGAGAGAGATCATTGCAAACCTCTGAACTCTTGGTAGGAGAAACAATCCATGGGCTAAGTTTTAGAAATCATAAGACCATATTTCTTATCGGCATTAGTTTTATAATGTGAAATGTCTGTTGAGTAAGTTCCTTTATCTGACAAATGAAAAAACAACTTGATTCCCAGTGAGGGATGGGTACATAATAGATAGGAAGAATTCTAATGTTTAAGTGGGAGAAAAGGAATTAAATTGACATATTATAAAAAGTGCTTATGATTAAACCATTTGAGTTCTTAAATCCTTTAAAGATTTAGCCTTTTTTAATAGTATGGAGGGCTGAATCCAGGGCCACACACATACTAGGGAAATATGCTACGCCCCCCGGAAAAGTTGCCATCCTTTTTCATAAAGACAATTTCTCATTAAGTTGCCCAAGCAGGCCTTGAACGTGATCCTCTTTTCTCAACCTCCCAAGTGGCTGTGGTTCCAGGCCTGTGCCACCAGGCCCTGCAAGTTTGGCTATCTAACATTACTCACAACTGGGTGCACACCTGTAATCCCAGCTATTGGGAAGACTAAAGTGAAAGGATCATGAGTTCAAAGCCATCCTGAGCTACATAAGGAGACTTCTTTCTCTTCCTAATCCTAAAATTTCGACCAGTAATTTTTGCCACCTCCTCAGAAATCATATATGTTGTCAGACTTTTTCTTTAATTTTTTGAAAGGTGCTTTGTTCTAATAAATTGAGTTTATTAATTGTCTTTAAAACTGCTTCTTTCTAGCATCCTCAAATTCAGAAGGAGTCTCAGTATATCAAGTACCTCTGCTGTGATGATGCAAGAACTCTCAACCAGTGGGTTATGGGAATAAGGATTGCCAAGGTGAGTGTGCACTCAGCCTTAGATGACCTTGGAGTGGCTAGCAAGCTTCTTTACCTGGGTTTAGCATTTCACTGCTGTAAAGATCTGGCCTGTTCCTGGGAACAGCCACATATGTTATCTCATGAATTTGCCCCCTTTTATCCCTCAATAAGTAGTCATACAAACATGCATATGACATATCTGTACAATATGCAGCTGTGTCCAGTGGCCTCAGACTTACAGCTGACTTTCAGATCAAACTTTTCAGATTCAGAGAGGAATCTTAGTGTGCAATTATAAAACACAAGATTGAGCCAGAGGTGTGTGGCTTTGTGGTAGAGCACCTGCCTTGCATGTGTGAGGCCCTGAGTTCCATCCTCACCATAGGAAGGAAAGGGGTAAATGAGGAAGGCTGACTCTACAGAGCAGTTATGTGAAGACTCATAATCAGAATTGTGTGGCTAACCTTCTATGTGTAGGTGGGGGGGGTATGAAATGATTCTACTAATCTAGAAATTTGTGTAACATGGAAAAGCAATTAATGAAATACATCAAAAAGAATTTGGACATGGTTTAAAATGAGCTACAATGACACTTTTTTCTCTTTCTATGTATCTTTTAATTGAGTGAAAAAATTGAAATAAATGGGTTCCTTCTCTGCATTCCCTCCCTAGTATGGAAAAACTCTCTACGATAACTATCAGCGAGCTGTGGCAAGAGCTGGACTTGCCTCTCGGTGGACGAACCTGGGGACTGTTAATGCAGCTACACTAACTCAGCCTTCTACAGGTAAGTACAAGCAGAGAAATTCACATGCACATGCAAAGCGCAGAGCTATGGTCCATCATTCAACACGTTGTGTAAAAGTAAGCTTTGAGGAGCTGAAGAGATGGCTCAGTAGTTAAGAGCACTGACTGCTCTTGCAGAGAACCCATGTTCAGTTCCCAGAACCTACATGGCGGCTAACAACTGTCCATAACTCCATTCCAGGACATCTGATGCCCTCTTCTGACCTCCATAGACATTGCACAACATGGGTACACCTACCTACATGCAGGCAATACACTCAAACACATAAAATAAAATATACAAATTTTTTAAAGTAAGCTTTGAGAGGCTGAGGACAGCTCAGTGGGTAAAGTGCTAGCTGTACAAGCCTGAGCACCCAAGTTCAGATCCGCAGCACCCATGCAAAAGCCAGGTGTGGTGGCACAAGTCTGTGACCCCAGAACTGACAGGCAGAAACAAGTAGATCCTGAGGCCTTTCTTGCAGCCAGTCCAGCAACTTGGTGAGCTGGTGAGCACCAGGGTCAATGAGAGAAAAATAAGATGGGGAAGCAACTAAGGAAGACATTCTGATAGTAACCTCTGATTTCTACATGGGTGAGTAGGTGAGAACATCTGCATACACACATGCACACACCCATACAACACACACACACACACACACACAAAGTTACATACATATACACAAGCAGATCTATACACATACACACAGACACACACATAGATTCAAACACAAGACACACACAGACAGATGTACACATAGATTTACCCAGACAGATATACTCACAGATAAATACACAGAGATACACATGCACACACAGATACACAGAGACACACACACATGCACATACATGCAGATACACACAGATACACATACAAACATGCATGCACTAAAATAAAACATAAGAAAATAAAAGGAATAAAAGTAAACTTTGTAGACACTTTTTGAAATACATTTCACCCCACATATACACCCCTGTATCTACTTAGAAGTGCCTTTTCACAAAACATTGACTACTTTTTCATGATAGATTTGTAGATAAGGTGTTGATCATGATTTTAGAGTAAGCTAGAGAGAGTTATGTCTCATCAAAGTACAAATATCATATTTATCCAATGCTTATTAGTTCCCAGCAGGATATTCAAACCAGATGTAGGATCATGCCTTGGTGTTCTCTCTCAATGGCATGATGGCTAGCCTCATACCCAGTCCTGGACCTCACACTTTGTGGGTAAAACATCAACTTTTTCATATTTTTAAGAAGACAAGGGCACTGAGAGGACTGGGTACTCTGTGATGCTTTATAAATAGAGTTGCCCTTTGGTACCTGTAGAGACAGGTTCTAGGAACCCTTGGAGCAGTTGCTCTGGCCACTTGTATAAAATGCTGTAGTGTGTTCAGTGCACACAATTTTTCAAATACCTTTGATTTGAAAACCTGCATATGTTTAGTACACAATATTTTTCAAATACCTTTGACTAGTGGTTGATTGGATCATAGATACAGAACCTGTGGATGAGGAGGGGTGACTGTACTAGTGCTGAGGCTTATAACAGCTCTACAGGGTACTGATTACAGTCCTCACTTCACAGCCCAGGGAACGGAAGATGGGAGGAGCTGGGGCAAAGGAGGTAGACCAACCAAACACTTGCTGATAACAAATCTTAAGAAATTTTATTTTAAAACAATTTTTGCATATATAATTTTACCATTTAGTGAAAATGAAATGAAATCTACATACTAATGAAATGGATGTACTTGTTTAATTTTTACATAAATAACTAAATCATGGCAAGGTATTTGACACTGCAGGACATAGAGGAGCTTCAGTGAGGTTTTTTTTACTTATTTATTTAATAACCACATACTTAGAAGAAGCATTTCATTACGACAGCATTGACATATTCGATAACAATTTCCAGAGCTAAGATGCATCTCTGTCAAAATTGGCTGTATATTTTTAGGTTTACAGCCCCGGCCCAGGGGCTTCAACGTTGGGGGGTCGGGAGAATAACCTGAAGGAATGAAACAAACAAGGAATGCAAGGAAATGGAGGCAAGACAAGGATCTGATCAAGCCTCAAAATTTTATTTGAAAGCAGCAGACATATATACTGGTAGTGAAAAGGGGGGGGAGGTGAGGAGAAGGAAAGTGCTGGGCAGACGCTAATTGGTGTTGTTGGATGCTATAGCTAGGGAGGGTTATTCAAGGGGCATTTCTTATCCTAAAGGAACATCTGCTAACTGTTATGGTGAGCATAAAACATTTCTCAAGGCTGACTTAGCCTGGGTCACAAAGTATCAATTTTAATCATTTTTTAATTTTTAATAACTACATGATTAGAAGAAGCATTTCACTACAGCTTTAACATATTCAGTAACACACTCCAGAGCAAGAGTACATCTCTTTCACAAGTGGCTGCAAGTTTCTAGGCTCACAGTTGAATTAATACAGTTATACAATATTGAACTCAGTATAAGACCTGTAAGACATAAAATTGATTCAGTTTTTAACCTTTAAAAATAGCTCCATTTCATTTTAGAACATATTATTCCTTGCATAAAGACTCATTGTTTTGCTACTAACACTGAGATGTTGGCGCATGCATCTCTAATCTGTATGTATCTGATTATTACTAGTCATGATAGGTTCACTTAGATCCTTGGCGCCTGTGAATGTCTATAAAGTCATCGGGGAGATTTCAGTGGTAATGTTTATCACCTCTACTAATTAACATAATGTAAATTTCCATGGTTCCTCCTCAAATATTAATTTTTTTAATTTGTTGATTTTTTTCTGTGTGTGTATATCACACAGAACATTCCAAACCGTTTTATTCAACTATACACCCACTTCCCAGATGGCACACTCGCATAGCCTCCCTCCCAACACTAGAACCCTTATACTCTGATTTCCCTGCTACTGTCTGCTGTATTGTCAGCACCCCCAGCCATTCCCCACTACTTGCCCTTGTGGTGAATCTAGTCAGCCTAGCTAGAGGTCTTTGTTTTAGGAGGGTCAGCTGTTCCTCATCTAGCAGCAATCAGCTGTCAATATTCCTTTAGATAAGACTGGGGTCTGCTGTTCATTTTCCCAGTTCTATGCTGGTTTACTGTCTGGGAGTCTCTTGGGCCACCCTGGCCAATAACTCAAAAGAAGATATTGCCTATCTGAGATTGTTTCTTGTTATGTAGCCTTTAGCTACATATGGACTCCTAAAAGATTATATTGGCCTCTTTCATCTTTGGTTATACTTTCCTTTTGGGTATTTAAGGCCATACAGTTGGCCCAGATATACCAATTTGAGGATCTGTTCCGCTCCTTTCTTTTACCAGTTCCACCTATGTGAAGATAAGTCAAAAGTCCTGCTCGACCATGGTTGGCTTCACTTGGAGCATGGAGGAAATGATTCCTCTATGTTGATCCTCCTCTTTGTAGACTGGAAACTGGTTCAAGTCCATCTGGTGGGGTCTCCTCAGTCTCCTTGATGAAGAGGACAGGTGACCCACCACAATTACAGGACATTTTGAGAGATGCTTATAGTACCCTGGAACTTGTTGACCTAGGAGGGCAAATTTTGAAAACTGTCCTTTATGTCCCTCTGACGAAATTAGTATAGGCCTCAAAGTATGTTTGTTAAACACCCAAGAAGGTTAGTTCCACCAGTATGGTACTTTTAATTACTATGTGTTATGTAGATAAATCTTAGGCAAAGACCAATTGTTCTGAGATAAACCTTACCTAGAAATATATTTCTTGATCTGGTATGTATAATTTTCAGTAGGTTGTAGGAATAATATGGTTCCCTCTGGTTTTCAAAATTAGCTAGGCATTATTTATCTCTTGCACTGTCTCAACCCTCCATCATGGTTTTCCCACTTAAGGTGCCCCCATTTCCCCCCTTTCTCCCTTAATAATACCTTTCTTCTACAATCCTACCTCTTGACCTCCTTCTTTCCCTTTATCCCCTAGGTTCTTTGTATACCCCACCCTTCCCTCCCCCCTCAAACTAACCCAATTTTTATCCATATCTCCCTTATTAAGGCCTGTTTCCTACTGTTCTTCTCTTTCAGGTTCTTTCTTTTCCTTTACCTCCCTGGTTCCGTTCCATTTTCCTGGTTCCTGTAGTTATGTCTGGAAACATACTCACACTTACCACATTTTGGTTCTAGGATCCACATATGACAGAGAACATACGTCCATTTTTTCTGAGTCTCTGTTACTTCACTTAGTATGACAGTTTCTAGTTCCATCCATTTACCTGCAAATTTCATGATTTCATCTTTCTTTACTGCTGAGTAAAACTCCATTGTATAAATGAACCACATTTTCACTATCCACTCATCAACTTTGCTTCCATCTCTTAGCTATTGTGAAAAGAACAGAAAAAACATGGATGTACAAGTGTCTCAGCAATAGGACAAGTTCTTTGGGTATATGCCAAGGAGTGGTATAACTGGGTCATATGGTAGGTTCACTTGTAGTTTTTAAAGAGTTCTCCACACTGCTTTCCATGGGAGTTGAACAAGTTTGCAACCCCACCAGCAATGGATGAGTGTTCCCCTTTCCCCACATCCTCTCCAGCATTTGCTATCATTAGTTCTCTTGACCTTAGCCAGTCTGACTGGGGTAAGATGAAATCTTAAAGTGGTTTTAATTTGCATTACCCTAATTATTAGTGATGTTGAACATCTTTTAAGATGCTTCATAGCTATCTTTACTTCTTTAGAGAACTCCCTGTTCAGCTCCTTAGCCCATCTTTTAATTGGGTTGCTTCTTGTCTTGATTCTCTGTTTTTTGAGTTCGTTAAATATTCTGGATATTAAAACTCTGTCAGATGTGTTGCTGGTGAAGATTTTCGCCCATTCTGTGGGTTTTCTCTTCACTTCCCTGGTTGCCTCCTTTGATGTACAGAAGTTTTTTAGTGTAATGACGTCCCATTTGTTAATTCTTGCCCATGTTTCCTAAGCAATTGATGTCCGGTTTAGAAAATCCTTTCCTA